GCATGCCATCCACTAGAGACATGGGCTGCAGGTAAATTTTGTGATAGGAATTCCAGTGCCCTGAGCTGTAGGTACTCTTGAGGCTAATATTGAAGGGGATGGTCCAGAGAGGAATGGAGACACGGCCTATATGGTGGCTGTACGAGGCATATTCTCCTCCTGTACTTAGGAAGATAGTTACTAGATACCTGAGTTACCAATTCTTCTCCAAAGTGCATTAAGAAAACAACAGATGCATGTTCTGGTTGGTTGTTTTCCCCTTAATGTTTCCAGTGTAGTGATTACAGAACAGTAGCTTATAAAACACATTGATTTTGAGTCCATCTAAAGTTAAGAAAGTTAACTTTTTTAAAACAAAAAATGTCTTTAAAATATGTTAGTGCATGTGTTGTATGATTTGAGGGATAATATAATATGGTTATTTAAAAATAGCATTTAAATTGTGCTTTTAACTTGAATGTCTTTAAGCTTTGATACAAATCATAAACATGGATTTTGTTGTTTATTAGGACCTATTGGTAGTGCAATTACACATCAGAGTAAATATTATATATATTTTTTCTCGGGGGTCATTTTCTTTTAGATGATGGATTTGGAAGAGGTAATACCCATCGATTGCTGTCGCCTTGTTAAATATGATGAGTTTCATGATTATCTGGAACGATCATATGAAGGAGAAGAAGATACACCGATGGGACTTCTGCTAGGTGGAGTTAAATCTACATATATGTTTGATCTGCTATTGGAGACAAGAAAACCTGATCAAGTTTTTCAGTCTTATAAACCTGGAGGTAAGGAATTTTATGTTATTTTGAGTAGTATTGGACTTAAAGTTTTCCTAAAGTTTTTGTTTATAGAAATGAATTTAACTTTAATTTTTTTATACGTTCTTAAAATGCAGAATAATTTTGATAGTTTGGGAACTAGTCATCATCAGGCTTGGAATTAAGTTCTAGATTACTTTTAAAAAACTACACACAGGTTTCACAAACAAACAAAACTTCTAGCTTATAGTATTCAGTGGAAATTTCTTCTTCAGTATTGAATCATTCTCCCTCCCCCCTGCCCCTATTTATAAGGAAGATCCTGGTCCAAAAAATGTATATTCCCGTAAATTCTCAGAAGTGGAATGTGTTTCTGAGTCTCCTTAAAGAGGTGGTTTCATAATACACATCGCTTCCAACATTTCTTTATTTTTCTCCTTCCTCTCCATTTCTGCAGGTCCCAGGTACTTTAGCTTTTCCTGTTTTCATTAAATCTGTCACATCCCTCTGTATGAGGGTTTCTTTTTCTAGTTTGAGACTGATCTTAAAAACAAAATACCATGCCCCTAACTTTACTCAAAATCGTCCCTAAAGACACTTATATGTCCAAAATTTTCTAGTAATCACTATATGTAAACTGTAACAAATGGGTAAAATTTTTTACCAAATTCTTACTGTTGTTGACTTGACCCTAATTCTCTTGTGTTGATTATTAATCAGAAATCAGGCTTATGTTCTCTACTTTTATTCCTAAAAATTGAACTTATAAAACCTTCTGCACTTTCAAGTTCTGTTCCTCTATGGATCCTGTACACCTCCTTTTTTGTTTTTATGAANTTGTCTTAATGGAGGATCATTTATGGCACACTTTAAAACACACCCCTCAACCGTAGCTCACACCAGACTGCACCAAACAAGTTGAAACTTGACCCACACTGTTAACTAAAGTTCAATACGCCGCTTCCTGTATTGAAGATAACTGCCTTTCCATTGGATGGCACTCGGCGACAGCATTCACCATATGTTGTGATCACAACAGAAAGGCTCCATGTCACGCATTACTTCTGGTATACAGCAATTTCTGACAAAAGCATTACAGTGTGTCCCCGTGCACCTTATTTATCATATCTGGCACCGTGCGACTTCTGGTTCTTCCCCAAATTCAAAATGATCATGAAAGGTAAATGTTTTGAATTGATTCAGGACATAGAGGCAGCCACGACAATGCAGCTAAAGACACTTGCAAAAGAGGACTTCAGAACTGCTTCAGAAAGTGGCAAGAATGATGGGATAAGTGTTTGAAGTGAGGGGGAGTATTTTGAGGGGAATTAATGGCAATATGTCTTTTATTACAATAACTTTTATTCAAACATTCACCATATTTTTCTATCACACCTCAGTTTGGTTCAGTAATGATAACCCCCAGACCTGTGTAGTAGTCATAACTCACCGGCTGCTTGTCCCAGACCAAGTTATTTAACTTTTCTAACTCTTACTTTCCACATCTGTAAAATAGCACTAATTATAGTATTTAATAGGGTTGTTATAAAAGGTAAATGAGATGACATTTTAAGCATTCAAATTCAAATAGAGTAAAAACTCAAATTGAGCTATTATTGGGTTTGTTTTCTATTATAAGCCTTTTGGGTATTTTATGATGTATTTTTTCTGTTTTTCGTTGCAAAAATGTGTCATGACTTTTCTGACAACCCAATAGTATCTAAATGCCTTGAATGGAGACCATAAAGTAAACTTCCCACTTTCCACTCTAGAAATGTTTTTAAGAGCTAGGGTTAAATATCTTTGCTATTTGCTTTAAAAGCAAGTCAAGCTTTATGAGTCTACAATGCATCCTTTATTATAATTTTATTAAGAATCACAAAAAAATAATTCTGTGTACAAAGCATGTGGGATTGTCTCTTGGTAATTATCCCTTTAAAAATTCCAGTTCCTGTTTTTATTTGCTAACTCTGACTCTACTGAAGTAGTATTGCAAATAGGTAGGGTTGGTGGGTGGGTGCAACTGAGCACGGGCACATACAGGTATACACACAGGTGATGTGTTTGCTTATATTCTTTTCATAATTAAATTAATATAATCACAATCACTGATTTTAACTTATTTCCTTTGTTTAGAAAATACCATGCTATGAGTAAATCTGTTTTCAGCAGTAGAATGTTTTTGTTTACATTTTTGTAAACTCTCATTAGATTGTGAATCCATTTGGTACAAGGCTGGGGACTTATTCATATTTTCACCAACAGTATAGTCCCAGGTCTTTCATTTAATAACTTTTCAGTAATTTACTGTGGAATTAATGAAAAAAAAAGAGGAAATTATAAGTCATTTTAGAACAGAGATTTCAGAGTGGAAGTAATCATTCTTACTTCACAGATAAAGTATAACGCAAAGAGTAACTTGTCCAGTGTCGTAGCTACCTGGAGGCAGAGTCAGGATTGTAGTTCATGTGTTCCCTGTGGCCCCCAGCATTCCACATACATCCACTGCAGCAGTTACTCAGCTTTCCTCTCTTCACCGCCCCACTCTGGTTTGTGGTGAAGCACCAGAGGGCGCTGTATGTATGACATGGAGTAGTTTTAGAATTAGAGCCCATTTCTAAGAACAATAGATTTTTACCTTCCACTAAGGCCAGATTTTTTAAAATAAATTTGTCTCCCTATTTAATGCCTAATAATCATTGGCTTTATCAAACAGTATCATAATCTCATATTGTCACTTTTAATACTTTGAGTTACATATGAAGTTCTTGAAGGCAGCTAAAAGACTGCTTTGGGAACAAAAGAGATAATTGTATTAATGAATAATAGTAAAAAGCATTTGTAGAAGCAGCAGCAGCAGCAGCAACAGCATTTATTACATTTTATTATAATCCGGAGTTTATTATAAACTTGGGGTAGGTGCTGGTAATAAGCTAAAGAAACCAAGGTCTGGAGAGTTTGCCCAAGGTCACACAATTTGATGATGATAGCATCAAAAATTATTTTGAAATCAGAAATTATTTTATTTGCAAGTTTCACAGACGGTTTTTTATTCTAAAAATTTGTATCTGCATACTAGAGTTATCCTGGAGCCAGGAGCTATTATAGATAAATTATGGCTTTTTAAAATGTGAGACCTAACCATGTGTCATTATTAACTACCTCTTTACTCTTTTCTGGGAAAAAACTCATGTTCCAAGATGAGAGATTCATGTGATTGAGAAGTATTTTGATGAGAGCTATACTAGAAGTATATAATATGGGAACATAGTAGAACAAAATTAAATAAAGGAAGCTCAATTTCATTGATGCTGTCTTACCCTGTTTTTATTATTAATAGAATTTCTAGAAGTAGATGAATATCCGGAACATATTAAAAACTTGGTGCAGAGAGAAAGAGAATTGGAAGAACAAGAAAAGAGACAACGAGAAATTGAGCGCAATACATGCAAGGTGAGATTTCATAATTTTACTTTTAATTAAAAAGTACTATTGAAGTTTGCTTAGGTGCAATTCTCATAACTAACCCATTGGGTGGGTTCTGTCGACAATTAGGTTACTTTGATCATTAAGCAGTGTAACTATATTACTGAGGTAAGATGATTTTATGTTATGCATAAAAAACACTAACGTGTAGTGATAATACTCAATGTTGGTGAGGTTACAACGTGATGAAGATTGTCACATTCTGCTACAAGAAGAATAAATTGGTATAATCTTTCTGCATAGAAATTGAGTAGAATTTATCAAGAGCCTTAAGCAAATTTATATTCTCTTATATATAATTCTCTTAAGGAAATATTACCCATGGAGATGCTGTAAAATTTTGACCACAAGAACATTCAACACAGTATTTTCCAAACTAGGGAAAAACTTGAAACAATTTGAATGTATATCAGTAGGGGAATGATTATATAAATTATGATATATGTTTATAAAGAAACAATTATTAAAATTGATGTTTTTGAATTTTTTAATGACATGCAACATCGTCACTATGGATTATTACGTGAGAAAAAGAGACACCAGAGAGAATGGTTCCAATTATGTTTTGGTTTTTTTTAATTATAATATTTTGACTATTAGGAAAAAAAATGCTATCTACAAAAGAATTAAGCTTTGACTCATGACCTGCTGAATTGATGATGATATTTTATAATTTCTAGATAAAATTATTCTGTTTGCATCCTGTGAAACAAGTAATGATGGAAAATAAATTGGAGGTCCATAAGGATAAGACATTAAAAGAAGCAGTAGAAATGGCTTACAAGGTATGTTTGATTGCACTGTTGTCATTTAATTATTGTTGCTATCTTAACAGTATTACCATATTTTTTAAAATTTAGTTAACAGTATTACCATATTTTTTAAAATTTTTATTATAGTCAATAGTAATGCAAGCACTTGCAGTAACTTTGATAGCCCATTTAAATTATATATCTTTTAAAGAGTGTAGTTTATACCTCTTTGGAACATACTCAGTTGGCTTTAAGAAATTTCTCACTCTGAAAGCCAGTTAAGCATTCTAGAACTCTGAATTAGAATTCGAAACAAAAATATTTATTTATTTTTTACATTCATTTAACAGATATTTATTGAGTGCCTACCATATGAGGCATTAGAGACACCAGAGTGAACAAGACAACATGAGGCTTTAGAGATACCAAAGTGAACAAGACATGCTCACTGCCCTCATGGAATTTTTAATCCATTGGGGAAAAAAGCAGACCAAAAAAAAAATTAGAAACATTAAAATTTGCAAATATTTTATTGTTTAGATGTTATAAAGTAAATCAGTAGTATATTGAGATCATTTATTCTAAGACTAACCATGAGAAGACAGCTATGCAAAAAGTTGAGAAGGAATATTTTAAGTAAAGGAAACAGCATGTGTAAAACCTGAAGTGAGGAAGTGCTTGGCATGATCAAGAAACTGATAAAAAAGGGGCATTATGTTTAGATTGTCCAGTATAGAGTAGCATAAAATGAAAGTAGAGACTTTGTAAGACTAGAGGTTTGCATTTTTATTCTAAGAATAATGGAACATTATTATTGGGTTTTGAAAGGCAAATAGAAAAGGAAGCATTAAATAACCAAATTTTTCTAAATATCATTTGTAATACTTAACAAATTAATTTTTTTGTCCTTTGCATATAAATGTTAACATCATTCGACTGAAATTAAACAGTCATTACCTAGAGAGAAAATTGCATACTTTACTTAATTTATAATTATATCTAGAAATAGTATGCAAGATAGCTAACATTGTTTCTCAAAGTGTGATCCAGCACAACCTGCACCAGAATCCCATTCCTATTAAAAAATTAATTCCTGCAAATAAATCTGAATTTCTGTGTTGATACCTGGGAGTATGCCTTTAAGCAAGTACCTCAGGTGATTTTTAAGCATACTAAAGTTTGAGACCCACTTTGTATTAGGTACCTAGTCCTTCATACCACTTAGCAGTACTGAAAATTTACATGGTGTGACTATTTTAATTCATGTC